TTAGTTATTTATTACAGATAAGCAAAAATGCATTAATTGTAAAAAAAGATGGCACTCAGTTTATTATGGTGTTCCTTGAATATCTATTTAAGATTTTTTTCTATAATTGTAGATCTTCCAACTTTCTATCATATTTGCTTAACATCTGTAGCAAATATAATGTTTTAGAAGAATCTAGCATTTCCTGTTGGAATTTCAGACAATTCCTACTAATATCTGTGGATGGAAACACAACTATTGTTATGTTCTCTGGTGTTTGGAACCTGAAAAGCAAACAAACATTTATTCCACCAAGAAGCACAGTCCTGGACAGGGCATGGACTTTGGCATGTTCTGTTTTCTCATAACAGTTTACTGGAAATTGATTTGTTTGGTAAGATTGCCCAGCCTAATCATAACTGTTCCAGAAAATAGAAGTATTTTTAAATTTTAATCACACTTTTCAGGAATTAGGCACACACACAAAGACAAACACACACGCACACACACAGTGTTGCTAGATACCAATAAAGGTGGGAAGGATAAGTTTAAACTTGAAATTGTGTCCTTCATTTTAGTTTTCGTTTCAACGTTTGTTTTACCTTCCAAGTCACTGGTTTCCATAAATTCCTGGTGTCTTAGCAGTATAAAGAATATTTTTAAACATGGCTCTTGTGCTGGAGTGAACATTAAATATTTGTTCAGCTGATTAAAACAGTCCTATATTTATTTAATGTTTGAACAGTAAACAGTTTATTGAAAACTGAAATGTCTTTTTATATATACATGCTTGCTCCACAGGCACACCTCTCTAAGGAGGTGTTCTGCTAATGAGGTTTCTCAACTGATACTGTGAAATATAAACAGTCCTATGAGAAATTCCCTCTTCAGACACATTATCTTCTACGAAGGGCTTGGGCTTCTGAAGGCAACTTTTTCTGATCTTGGGTGGCCAGCCATATAAGGTGGACAGGAATAGTGGTAATGGAGTGGTGAGTGGTTTAAAACCATAAAGGAGTTTCATGCTGACAGAAACATTTATCTTAGAGGGGGAAATGCAAGTTCTTTGATTATAAGGACAGCTGAGATGCACCTCAGTAGTAGCATTTTCTGCCCTTTAGCTTGGTTCGTTATAGCAGGAGACATTTTGTTCTCACTTAAACTAAGAAGGGCTTAGACTGAATTAAAGAATGACAAACAAATAGAAGATAAACCTTGTAACAGTGCCTTTGCTTTGTCATCTGTGAAAGTTGAGTGAATCAGAAAGGAAAGAGTTTCACTATTTATGTCAGCTTTTGCAATTACCCACCAAAAGAACATGCCGTGTATCTCCCTATTAATTCTCACCATATCTCTACTTTAAAAAGTATTTGTAGACACACAGTACACTTTACTGATTGAGCATGATTAAACTCAATATATGGGCCAAGTAGAAAACTTAGTTGTTTTTCCATCTATTATCTACCAACTTTGAATGAAATGTTTTAAACCTGAAATAATCAACTATTCTGAGTACAACTAAATATTCTCTGGTTAGCCATTGGAATAAAAAAAAAACATGTACTTAAGATTCTGCATTCAAAGCAATGTTATTGTAACATGTATCAGGATAATCATTGATTTAATTATAAGGCTGCACATAAAAATCTGTAATTGAATTAGAAGGCTACTGAAAATTAAAATGGAATATTACAAAGAGCTTAAAAGGAAGTAGATAGATTGTAGTGTAGTGACATTGAAGCATCTTTTAAATTGAAAATAAACTTAAAAGATCATGTTTGTTAAATGGATTTTTAACTAAAGAGAAGACATCACAAGATCTGTATTTTTATATTATCTAAGAGGTCTGGGAAAATCTGGAAAGTTAAAGAAGAAAATGCTAAGGCCAGTGAGAGTAGGGCACCTGCCTTGCATGCCGCTAACCTGCCAGGATCAGTGCCTGGCATCTCATATGATTCCCTGAGTCCCACCAGGAGTTATTTCTGAGTACAGAACCAGGAGAAACCCGAAACACTGCCAGAAGTAGCCCAAAATTCTAGAAAAAAAGAATTAGCAATGGTTATATGTAGACCACGATAATTTTTAACTTTTTCTTTTATGCTAATAAATGACAAACTACTGAATTTGTCATTTACAACGCACAAAAAGTAACTCAAACTTATCTTTAAAATGTATAAGGGGGTATGGTGCCGCCAGCAGATCAATCTGTACCAGTGAGGCAAGTGCATCAACAGCCTGATGGCCTCTTCAGACTTCCAGATACCCCAAAATTGCTGCTGTGCCTTTGGCCAGACCCCAAAACCTTGGGCAAAGTTTACCAAGAAAGTAAATGGCCAAAAGTTAGGTATGTGGGAGACAATCTCACAAACCATCTTCGGCTCAGCTATATAATTGGAGGCAGGGCCTCTCTGGTTCCTGATTGAACTGCTTAATGGCCATGATCCCAGAGACTCAGAAACACATCTTGAAGCCCAGTGGCTTTTGACAGAAATGCGTTCAGAGTGCATAGTTAGGTTACTGTTGTCGGGCCACCCAGAGTGGAAAAGGTGCTGTCCCTCCATCTGCTCCCCCTTGGTGGCTCGGTGGCTGCCATCTGCCAGAGGTCATTGAACAGTCAGGTTTTTGACTGCAGTGATGAGACACGTGGGGCCTCATGGGATGGGTGTGGAGCCAGCCCTTTCCTCCCCATCCCAATGAGACCCCAAGGCGCCGCCCACAAACGGCCTTTCTGGCTCCTGATCAAACTGCCTAATGGGCATGATCCAAGAGATTCAGGAACAAATCTTGGAACCCAGCAGGTTTTGGCAGAAATCCCTCCAGATTTAATTGTTAAAATTTCAGAATTTCAAAATTGTGCAGCCACTACTGCAGCCACGCGACATCATATGTTATTCATAAGCAGCAATAGAAAACAAATTGTCTACTATTGCCTTTTTGGAAGATCTGACTATTGGGGTAGAATTTCAAATAATAATGGTGGGTCTGGTGTCAAAATATTGAATGGAATCAAAGTAGAGAGTAATGTGGAAATCATCTTACCCACAGGTTGGGGGAGGGCTTGAGGTGGGGGTATACTGAGGTTTTGGGGGCTGGAGAATGGGCACTTGTGAAGGTATGGGTGTTTCATTATATAACCGAGACTTAAACCTGAGAGCTTTGTAACCGCTCTCATGGTGATTCAATAAATAAAATTATAAAAAATGAAAAAAAATGAAAACAAGGTGGAGTTCATGCCCAATTCAATCAGCTAATAAGTGGCTGAATAGATAGCAGTACTCCTACATAAAAAATAAAAATAAACTGTATAAGATTATGTTTTATAAATAAAAATGAATTCAATAATAAATCACCAATAAGAATTTATCTCTCATATTGTGTGGGCATTTTCCCATGAATATAAAATACCATAACTTTCATATTAATTACTAATGTGTGGATCTATATTGATCTTTTATTTGTTTGTTTCATGGTCACAACCAGTTGTGCTCAGGAATTACTCTTGACAGTACTCAGGAAACCATATACAATACTGAGGATCTGACCTGGGTTGTCCCCATACGATGCCAATGTTCCACATGCTGGACTGTTTCTCTGGCCATTATATATTCATTATTGAGGCAACTAGATTGGAAGAACCTTAAAAAATAGTTTCATTTCATTAAAGTTCTCCAAAAATGTCTAAACAAAGATCTTTATATCTGAATCCTTGTTATTAGAAGCAATGTAAGTAATTTTTATTGGCAGTCCTGACTCAGTAACAATACTAACTTAAAACAGTTTCATTTTCAGCAATCTTCAAAATATGTTCATATGCCTCTGAAAACTCTTTCATGACATTTTAGAGATACGTATGACTATTTTTGTTTTGGGGCCCCACCAGGTGTTGTTCAGGGGTTATTCCTGGCTCTGCACTCAAGAATCACTCCTGACAGTGCTTGGTGAACCATATTAGGTGCCAAGAATTGAGCCTGGGTTCTCCATATGCAAGGCAAATGTCCTATCTGCTCTACTCTTGGTCTGGTCCCTGATACTGAAAACTTTTGAGTTTCTTTCTTGTGAATTTTTACGTAATTTAGGGCGTTCACCTTACAAGCAGCCAACATGGCCGACCCGAGTTCGATTCCTCCGCCCCTCTCGGAGAGCCCGGCAAGCTACCGAGAGTATTCGATATGCCAGACACAGTAACAACAAAGTCTCCAATGGAGACGTTACTGGGCCCGCTCGAGCAAATCGACGATCAACGGGAGGGCCTTTACCTTTACCTTTTACTTTCTCAAAATTTATATTTTATAATATTTTCTCCTCTAACCTTAATAGTCATGCTATACGAAACTATCCTAATTTGAAATGGAACCTGTTGTCATCCTTTCGATACCCCATCCCCATGATGATAAAGAAAGAGGAAGGGCAGTATGAAATAAAAACAACCCTCTCTTGATTCCCCTATTCATAGTGTGATACTTTCTCTCAAGGTTGCTGTTGCATCTCTACAACATGGGCTCGCTGTTGAAGGTTTTAATGCTCTATAACCCAAAGAAACATAACTCATGTGAGTGATTATATAATCCTTTGAGTATCCCCAATGCAATTCCCTGCTATACTATGGGAGCAATACCATTTCTATCTTTATGACTGTCTTCACCTTCTACTCTTCAACAATCTACCAGTGTTAAAAACGTACCTGACAGCTGCATGCTTCTGATATTCCACACTCTCCCTGGCTTCAAGTGAATAAACAAAACAGAATTATTTCAGAAAATACATTATATGGCAACAAATGTATTGCCTCCACTCAGAACTCAGAATTTTCCTCTCTTCCCACCTCTTCTGCATACAATGGAGATAGGAAAATAGAAAGTGGGTAGAGGCTGGGATGGTAGTTTCTACTATTTTTGATATTACTCTTAATAAGCCCTAGTAAGTGCTCATCTGGTGGATCTCCTTCAAATGTAGATTGTTAGTGTTCCCTTTTTCTTTAGATTTGAATTCCAAATGTCAGCTCCCTTGAAAATACCTTTTGATCATCAGGTAGGATAATTCCTCTTTCTCCTCTATTCAGAGAGCAGATAGAACATGATGATTGGAGTTTGAAGGATTTGTGATTATCATCTCTGTGTGACTAGGGCTCACAAAACCCTAATCGCTCCTATCTGATTCTTCCTGAAAAAAAAGAAAGTCAAGGAAAATAAAAGAAAATGCCATTCAGCATGCTTTTACATTCATCTATAACTAGACACTTATTACTGATCAACACAGTGTTCAAGATTTAAATGTCTAAGTATAACTACATCACCAACTCAGTGTGATAGAAAATGGAATATCTTTATTACATGGTAACGTTCACAGGTTTGAAAAATCTAATAGTTGAAACTTTACACAGAAGATATCCTTATTTAATGGAACACTCCTATTTGCCCAGCCTCTGAAAATGAAGCAGAGGTTAGAATTTCTTAGGAGGACAAACTGAAGTTTTGTTCTTGTTACTCCGTCTCTGCAAGGCATACTCTCCGATGAGCAATAGGTAATGGAAAATAAAGCAACACATGCTGAAGAAATGCAGAATGTTTAGGTCCAATCTGAATCTATGAGAGTAGATTAGGAAGTATTTAAGGTAGTTGATGTTGCAAAGACTATGTAAAAGCCATTATACCAGTGATCTTCAAATGTACTTGATTGACTTTTAAGCATCAGGGTGGTACCACCGAAAAATGATGAAAAAATGACGTGTGAGGTAGAGATGAATGCCACCACTCCTGTTCAAGCAGAAAAGCTTTGCATTTCCAAGTTTTATGTAATCAATTAACACCTCCAATTCCATTTTCTTAAGGAATTTTCAGGTTTGAAAATTTTGAAATGACTGTCACTGTCTGTCACTGTCCTCCCGTTGTTTATCGATTTGCTCAAGCGGGCCCAGTAATGTCTCCATTGGAGACTTTGTTGTTAACTGTGTTTGGCATATCAAATACATCATGGGTACCTTGCCAGGCTCTGCCGCGCAGGTGAGATTCTCTCGGTAGCTTGCTGGGCTCTCCGAGAGGGGCAGAGGAATCGAACTCGTGTAGGCCATGTTGGCTGCGTGCAAGGCAAATGCCCTACCGCTGTGCTATAGCTCCAGTCCTTTGAAATGACAAGGTTATGAAATAGATAAGCATCATCAGATGCATGGCCAAGGGTATATATACAGATGGATTAGGCAGATGCTAAATAGAGCTACTTGTTCAGGAATAATGACATGATAGAGGAGAAAGGAAGACCAGGACCTGGGGCTGAGAGTAAAACAAGAAGAGTTTACTGAATCATTTGAGGAATTTTGATTTGAAAACTTGAACAACTGAAGGAATTTGAACAAAGTTATGAAAAGTAGTATTATTCTAGCTCTCCATAATGTATGTGTCTGAATGCATATATGGTCCTGAAATTAGTGTTCAGGTAATGACTCAGCCTGTGATGGTTCTATTAACTCAGACATAAAATTAGGGTAAATTTCAGGAAATAAAGCTAGTCATTTTAATTTTTACTCTATTCACCTTTCCTTGAGAGAATGCTTTAAGTAGTGTCAATACTAAAATCTACTTTGCTCCTAGCTGCTATTCTTTAAAACAGATATCTCTTCTTTTAAAATTCCTTGCCTGTTTCTGAAAGAGCCCACCTCTTTTTCAGGAATGGCGATCTCCCCCAACTGCTCAATTCCCCAGAAAAGGGGGTTACCCAAAAATATAGGAAGTCTTTTCAAGCTATAACCAAAAATGAGCTGTTTAATGCAATCTCAAGTCTGCCACATATTCGGCAAAGTCTTGACAGTGTTTAAGAGAAATCGCACTGAATCTCTCAAGGAATTATGTTGAAAGCTACTGGAAGCTGCAAGCCTCACTGCAGGGAACCTTCTGATAGATTTGAGCAGATGGCAGCATATACACTTATTTCATTTACAATACTTTTTGAAATTAAGGATGATTTTTTTCCAAAACAATTCTCTTAAGAGATACAGGGAAGAAAAACATACTGAACTATAGATTGTCTTGTATTTACATAAGTCATTAGCAAGTTACAAAATCATGATATTATATTATGTTTCTTTTAAGTACTAAGAATATAAAGCACTGAGAAAAATTAGGGTTCTATATTCATTGGCATAAGAATTCTCTGAGACATGGATAACTAGTATGATATATATGACTTAATATTATTTTACATTCAAAGAGTCTAAGAATGGCCTATTACTTAATTTGATCAGTATGTAACATAGCTCAATATCAGAGTTTTTTAAGAGTAAATATTCTTTTTGTTCATATCTAGCATCTGAGATATCGAAATATCTCTACATAGGAATTTATATTTATTAATCACTTCAAAGATTGAGAGAGTGCCAACTATTTCCTACAATCACTAACTTGTACAACAACAAGATTCTTCATTTAAAAAGTTTCAATTTTTTTTTCAGGCTCAACCATTGATAGCTCTGGAGCTATTATCAACTTAATTAGAGGTATGGGAAAGGGATTGGGAGGAAATGTTCTGATGAGGGTTTGGCTGTAGTGGCATCATCTCCCAGATATGCTCAAGGACTCATACAGTACAGGGATCAAACTTCAGGACCTCCTTCATGCAAAATATGTGCACTGGTACTTTGAACTACCTCCTAGGCATACATTTTTATAAATATTGATCCAGTGAGTCAAACACACCAAGTATAGCCAATTCAATTGAAATGTTGTATTGTTTATAGATGATGTAGATAGAATATATATTTGCATATATGTGTATATACACACAAATATAAACACATAAACACAATTATTATATATCGATTAGATAGTGTTTTTTAATGCTCATAAATGAACAAAGATACACATTGCTGTCCTCTGGTAGCCCTATTACTTGACAAGTGTATTTTCTTGATTTCTTTAATAGCATTTTAAAAGATAATGCTTATTTCACATCTTCACAGAAGGCTAGTGGGGGTACCCAGAATGAAAAAGTTACACATTGAATTTATGAAGAAAATGATAAGTGCTATAATATAGTGTCACTGCCATCTTTAATCCATATTTTCTGTAGAGAGACACTTGCTTAAACATTTTGTAAGTATTAACTGATTAAATCATATTGAAAAGAAAGTTTGGAGAGTTGTCATTTTTTTAGGTATCAACCATTGTAATTATCAGAGGAAGAGTCCGGAGGTAAGCCGAGCAGATCTTTCTGTCTGGAAGCCTGTTTAAAATTTCTAAATTTAACTCCTGTAATGTCTCTAGATCTTTGGACTTGGACTTCTTAACCTTGGACTCCAGGCTCAAGGGGAACCGGAAAAAGAGATCCTCTGCCTGCTTCCAACAATCACAAGCGACCCAGAGACCACACCCAGGAGGCCCACCATGCTGGAGCCAGATAAATACATCATCAGCCGACCTCCTCTACCTCCACTATCCAGTCGTTCTCACGCTCCAGTCCGCTTTCTAGACACATCATAAGATCTTAATACCCATTTTCCATACCATATTGGATGGGATTCAAATATGTGAACCATGGGATCACCTGTAAGGGCGACTAGAGGCCGCCCTAAAAGCCTCCATCCCTCTCATAGAGCGTGACAACCGAGAGTATCCTGCTCATATGGCAGAGTCTGGCAAGCTACCCATAGCATATTCAAAATGCCAAAAACAGTAACAACAATGGGCCTCATTACCCCTGACCCTCAAAGAGCCCCCAATATGACAGTGTTAAGAAGGATGAGCAAGGAGAGGCTGATAAAATCTCAGGGCTGAACTAGGCTGCCAAAACAAAACAAAAAAAGACTAAAATGAATGTCTGTATTTTCAATGCACGTATACTGGCATTGAAAGCATTCATCAAGAACCTGGTGGTGCAAGTGCAGAAGATCAAGTATAACATCATTGGTCTGAATGAGAAAAGAAGGCATTGATGACATCACACCATTTCTGAAACTGGAAAAGAACTGTTCCTCAGAACATCTGACGATAGAGGCATCGGTGGTGTTGGTGTCCTTGTCAACATGAACTTGGCCATGAGCATTGACTCAATAGAATGCCTAACAACCTGAATCAGACAATTACTCTTGAATATATGTGGCTCTAGCCACCACCATACTGAGACCACTCTCCACACGCATGAAGGTACTGGCAGAGGAACAAAGGCATGCGGGTCCTGGGGCTGAGATCTCCAAGTCTGCTTGGATTGGGGCTGAGCATCCTCCACCCAGATCCTCCAAATTCCAGTAGGCAGGGGTCACACCCACCAACTGGCCCCCTGGCGTCATGTAATCCCATCAATGGCCAAGACCCAGAGACTAGAAAACCCAGCTCCCAGAAGGCCACACGACACCTTATTATTTCATTCTTACTTTGGACAAAATGGCAGGCAACCGAATGTACCCTGCCCACGTGGCAGAGTCTGTCAAACTCCCTGTGGTGTACCCAATATGCCAAATACCAGTAACAATGATGGGGCTCATTCTCCTAACCCTGAAAGAGCCTTTAATATGGCACTGTTTAAAAAATCTCAGGGCTAGAACAAAGGAGACGTCACTGGAGCCTGCTCGAGGCAATCGACGAACAACAGGATGGTCATGATCGTGATATGTGGCTCACTAACAGCAGTGTCTATCTTCATCGTCTATGCACCAAAATCCAACTACAATGAAAAAGAAATTTAGAAGCCCTACATGGAGCTGCAGAAGTTCTATAAAGAAGACCACACCTTCTACAATATCATTGTCAGTGATTTTAATACCAAGATAGGACTAAGAAGGTTGTCTGAAGAACTCCACATCGGGACCCATGGAATGGAACGAACAGGGTGAGAGACTGTCTGAGTTCATCATGTTGACCAAAACCACCCATAGTAACTCAGAGTTCCAAAAGGGTGAATCTAAACATTGGATATAGGAGTCTCCCAGTGGAAAGTTCCACAACAAAATGACCACATCATATTGAACCATTGGTGTTCCCTGACCAATGTCGCTGTTGTCCCAAAATTCCAAATGGAATCAGACCACTGTCTCCTTCATGCAAAATTCTACTTCGCAAAGAGGGGAGAAAGTACTGCAAAGCTTAAGAATAGAACTTCCAGAATGACCATGAACTGGGAGCTCAGCACCTCCATGACTGTGGAAGGAATGTACCTCCATGACTGTGTGAG